CTGTGCTGGGCCCGGGCCTGCCCCCCTTACCCCCTTTGCAGGGCAGGAGGTGCTGGCTGTGCTGGGCCCGCCAGCCCTCGATCACCTCCCAGTGGCCGCTGTCCCGCTTTACGGGGATGGACACCTCCAGCACGTGGCTGCAGCGCTGGATGGTTTCCAGGATGCCCTGCACCCACTGCCGCTTCTCCTTCGCGGGCCGCGCGCTGCGGAGCTGCTGCACCAGGTCAGCCTCGGCCACGCGCATCGCCCGCGCGCAGAACGTCTCCACCATGGGCAGGAGGCCGGGCGCGTCGAGTCCGGCCTGGGCCGCGGCCGCCACGTGCTTCCCCCTGCGCCAGCCGAGAGCGCAGCCGCCTTTCCCGCCACTTCCGCCTTCCGGTGCGTCACTTCCGGTTGGCGGAGCCCCGCCTCCGTTCACTGGCTGCCATAGTAACGCGGCCTTACGCCGGCCCGCCTCTGCTAGGAGCCTGAGCCTGAGCCCGGCCCGCCCGCTCCGCCGAGCCGCCCCCACCGCCTCCCAGTGCCGCGGCCCGGCCCCCAGCAGCCTCTGCATGGCCGCGGCTCGGGCTGGCCGGGGAGCCTGCTCCTGACACAGGCGCGGGCGGGCGAGACGCGGACACCCTGATTGGCTGAGAGGGGGGCCAGGGCAGCGTCGGAGAGGAGACTCTCCTGATTGGCTGAGGGGCCTGGGGGCTGGACGTGAGATGATGGACGCTCCCGAATGGCTGAGAAGGAAGTGGGCGGGGTGTCATCCCACCTTTCGGATTGGCTGAGAGTCCGGCCAGCGGGTGACAAGGCGGGAAATGCAGCTGTGACCCAAGCACGTTGCGCCCCTTGGGCCAGAGGGGCGTGGCGAGGCCTAGGGGGCGGGGCCATTGGGGGCAGGAGGATGGGGGCAGTGGGCTGTTGCTCCCAGCAGCCTTTGCTCCATGCTGCCCCAGGGCGGGCGGCCAAGGCCCAGCAAGGCCATGCCAGCCAAGTGGGCTCTGCTGGGCCCCCGCCCCCCGGGCCCCACTGCCCCCGCCCCACAGGGCTCTCCACGGGGGGGCCCGCTTAGGAAGTAGGGCGGCTGTGGCCCTTGGGGCCCGTGCGAGACGCATGGTTTCTGGCCCCTGGGGCAGTTCCTGGGACGAGCTCCAAACCGGCCCCACGGTTTGCTGCCCCGGGATGTACCGTAGGCACCTCTCCCGTGCCCTGCTCTGCCGCCCAGCCAGGCTCCCCGCACCAGGAGAGCGTGCGGCTGCGTCGTGCTGAGCTGCACCCTGCACGTTCGCTCTGGGGCCCAACGACCACGGTTCGCTGTTTCACCCCTGGCAGAATGCTTGGGATCAGGGGAGGAGTTTGACCATCCCTTGTTTTCCCAGTCTGAGCTCTGCTGGCTTGTGGAGACTGAACTCACCTCAAGCTGGTGATAGGTCATAGGGACAGGGCTTCCCAAAGTCGGCTGTTTCACAGTGCCAGGGAACCTGGGCGGGGGGATGCCAGGTCGTGTGCACACGGAGAAGCAATCAGGGTAGTCTCCAGAGTGGTCACCCTAGCACCGTTCTCTGAGTTCACGGGCACCAACTACGTTCATTTAAAAACATTTTTAATTCACTAGAACGGCCTCATTTTATATTTAATATTTGCCGCTGGGAATTAGCTCTTAAGTAAATAACATGTTTTACAAAACAAACTTAATGAGGCATTTACCTGATAGATCTCAAACCTCATAAGGTAAAGAATGCATATTTATAACATAGAGTACCAAGACATGTTGGAATTTTTATTCTTAAATACCAAAGTCATTAAAAGGACATAATCAAGTTGTTTTTAAAATAATGTTTAAATATTCATTTCTTACCTCCAGACTCTTCGAAAACTGAAAAATAAATACTTCCTTACCCTAACTTGGCTTTCCTCCATCACATGCACACTCGTTTGTTTTTGTAGGGTTCTTTATGATCAGCATGGAGCTGCTCTAGTTGCTTTTTAGAAAACATTGGTTTGAGGAGAATTACATGCGTCTTGTAAACAAATATAAGAACAAAAAACTCCAGGGTGCCCCTTATATAATACAAATCTGTATTGAAATCTGGTTAGGTTTGTAACACAAGTTAACAAAAGCTCTTTCCGCACTTAGCTCCTGGTGCCCTCTCGATTTCACATTCCCTACTGAAGAAGTAAGTGCTGGGGAGTCACGCTGTATTCCTTGTGTATAGTGAAGTGATTGGATCTCTGCTGTAAGTGTAAAACTCATCACAAGCTTAACTTTGGAACCGTGATGGGGCTTCCATAGTAATTGTCAGTATTATTTTCCCTCCGCTTCCTTAGGCGTAATAGCATCTTGTGTGATTCGTGTTACTCCTGCTGTACTTTGAGCAGAGGTGTCATTGTACTGTCCCCTGTGCAGGAGCGGTGCCAGGGGTTTTGGCGCCCTAGGCGGGGGTCCTTCCGCGCTCCCGGTCGTCGTTGGCAATTCTGCGGCGGGTCCCGGAGCGAGTGAAGGACCCGCCGCAGAATTGCCGCCGAAGACCCGGAGCACGGAAGGACCCCCCGCCGCCGAATTGCCGCCCCCCCAAATCCTGGTGCTCTAGGCAACCGCCTAGGTCGCCTAAATGGAAGCGCCGGCCCTGCCCCTGTGGCATCCTAGGGTTGCCAACTTTCTAGTTGCACAAAACTGAACACCCTAACCCCGCCCCTTTCCCCAAGGCCCCGCCCCCCGCTCACTACATTTCCCCCTCCCTTGGTGGCTCGCTCCCACTCACTTTCACAGGGCTGGGGCAGGGGGTTGAGGTGGGAGGGGGTGAGGGCTCCAGGGTGGGGCTGGGAATGAGGGGTTCAGGGTGTGGGAGGCGGCTCTGGGCTGGGGCAGGGGGTTGGGGTGCAGGAGGGGGTGCGGGCTCTGGGCTGGGGCTGGGGATGAGGGGTTTGGGGTGCAGGAGGGTGCTGTGGGTTTGGGGGTGGCTCAGGGGTAGGGCAAGGGATTGAGGTGTCAGCTTCCTCGGGTGGCTCCCGGTCAGTGGCGCAGCAGGGGGGGCTAAGGCAGGCTGCCTGTCTATCCTGGCACCGCACTGCGCACGCCCCGGAAACAGCCAACAGGTCCAGGTCCTAGGCTGGGGGGCCAGGAGGCTCCATGCGCCGCATGGCTCTCGCATGCAGGCACTGCCCCCCCCCCACTCCCATTGGCTGCGATACCCAGCCAACGGGAGTGCAGAGCCGGTGCTCGGGGCGGGGGCAGCACGCGGAGCCTAGGAGCCAGACCTGCTGGCCGCTTCCGGGGCACAGCACAATGCCCCAGGACAGGCAGGGACTAGTCTGCCTTAGCACCGCTGACCGGACTTTTAACGGCCCGGTCAGCACGAGGGTCCCTCTTTGACCGGGTGTTCGGTCTCCCTCTGGCACCCAGAGCTTTTCTCTGCGTGCTTACAGTCCATTCTGAACCCAGGCCACCCCACAGTTATCATTTGCCATCTTAAAAGTCGACCGTTTATTCCTGGTTTTGGCGTTCTTCCCCTTACCCAGTTTCTCATCCATGACAGAACTTTGCCTCTCCCCTCTGACTACAGAGATTCCTCAATAGCCTCTCGTGAGAAAGGTTGTCAAAGCTTGTTGAGAGCCCTAACCAATGATGTCAGCTGGTTCTCCTTCGTCCACTGCTTGGGTGACATGCTCAGATAGCTCTCGCAGAGTTAGCCGCAAATTTCCGCTCCGAAGCCGTGCTTGTTAGACCTTCTCCTGTGTGTAAAACGACGGCTTCCCCTCGTGAAGGAAGGATCGCTGGGCTGTCCTTCAGCGAATCAGCCCTGCCGCCTTTTCAAAGCTGCGTACAACATCTGTCACCCTTCCAGCCCTTCCGCACAGGGTTCCTCAGAACTGCTCCAGATTATCACCCTATTCCAGTGCGTTTATTTCCTTGCAGGCCAGGGAGGGAGCTCACGAGTCTCTTGCAGGTTTCTTGTACACTTAAGAATTGCTTGTTGGCAGAGCAGAGTGTGGTCGTCAACTCAACAGCATTTCTCTGTCTGTCCATAATGTGAACACCGCAGCCGGGAATTCCGGCACTGCCGGGAATCTTCTAGAACCCTACTGCGTTTGGTGACAATTGGCAAACTGGAAGAGGGAAATGGGGGACACACGGAGCCCCTGGTTAGCACAGCCATAGCTTCAACCCCCCGGAAAGAACCAGGGGATGGTGTCATTCCTGTGCCTAACTCTGGGTCTCCAGCTACTTTTCTAGGGGAGCTGGAGTTTTATTTGTAGGCACTGGAGAAGGGCAGCAAAGTGAACTCTAGCCCACCCAAAGGTTACAATGGCACCTGTGATAGATAGGACTTGTATTCATTTAGCCCATTTATTCCATCTACACCAATGCAACAGGCTATATCCTACAATCTCCTGGAGAAACCGCATGGAATGGCGTTAAAGTATGAACCGGACAAGTGCTGCAAAGGCTGACCACAGGGTGGGCAATACCGGATTAGACAGGAAAGTGACCTAGTACTAAGTATGGGCTCTAGGCTTGGGGTTGTTTTTCTTTTAACTGTAACCTCCTGTTTCCAAACCCTTCTACTTGCTTCCATTTGAATCTCTACCACAGGCTCCGTTAAAGAAACTTCAATCTGGCTTGACTATGGACATGTCCCTTGTGCTAAGCAGGGTATTGAACGGAGGTGGGCCCAGTGAAGTGGGGAGCACTGCTTTCCCAATGGCCGCAGATCAGGGTGCACTGCAGGTGTCCAGAAGAGAACGGCCGGGCACTCAAGTGGAACAAAGTGGGGTGTGTAAATTGCCAGCCTGCAAGAGGAAAGAGTGGGGCTCCCAGAGCGTATTGGCAGCAGACGGTGGCTGGGAGTGTTTCCCCAGGTGCGTACAACAGACTAGGCTCTCTTCCGTTGTGATTCTCCCCAGACATCCCGGATAACCCCAGAAAGTGTCATGACAACCTTTGGGTCTTGGTTTCTCAGGCACAGGTGATTGGTGTGTGGTCAGAGGAGCTCCTAGTCTGATTTCAAAGTGGAGAAAGAAAACAAGCAGCAGCGTGACCAATTTCCTTCCATTCTCTTCAGCGCATGGTTCTGCCACAGGAAAGGTCAAACCACCGGGGCCGTCTTGCTCCCCGAGAGCTGGGGGGACGGACCTGAGTGCGTTCTGGCTCTGTCAGGCCTTTCTTACGCACAAGGTGAGGCAAAGGGAGTGTCTGAACCCAGAGTGGCCCCATTGCTCACCCCCTGGGGCTGGGGTGCAACCCCGGGGGCTGGCGGGGAGCTGTCCCCTCACGTTTTCACTGCCCCCCCCCACTCAGGCATGTACATGGCCTGTTCCTCCTCAGCCTTTCTGTGTGGTTCCCCCATGCCTGGGAACAGGGACAGAGACACCCCCCCCCCCATCACAGAGTCCCCGGGCGATGCTCTGGAACTGCTCCCCACAAAGCCAGGCAGAACTCTGGGGAAGTCTCCTCTCCCTTGGAGCAGACTGTCTCCAGGGCAAGGAGCTCACATGGCTTCACCTTCCTGGGTCTGACCTTTGGAGCATTCAGCATCCTCTGCCCCTCCGTGCGCTTCCCACAGCGAG